CACACACGCACACACACACACACACACACACACACACACACACAAGTGATAAACACAAGCCGCACACGTTTACGCAGCGCATAGGAAGGAAGATTGTTGGCTGGTTGAAAAGCACCGATAAGAGCGACTTTTTCGTGGGAGTTCGCAAGAGCAGATTGGGCACAACTTCACCTGCTGAAGAAGACAAACCAATTAAATAAAAAAAGAATAGTAACTCCCTTGTTTCCTGAATTGTAGAAACTTCGTTGATCAAAAGGCGCAATCCGGCCAAGCCATGAATATACCCCATATCGAAAGGGGCAGCACTCCATCATAATAATAACTCATAAAAGAAAAAAAGAACCGCCACGCTACTGTTTCGCGCGGCGGGCGGCCCGCATGAGCAACGCGTCTGTCCACTGATGGTTCATGGTGGACCACAAGAACTCCTGTATCTCCGGGTCCACTGGGAAGGCAAAGGGTGTGTGCTGGCAACGCATCCACAGCACCACCATTTTGCCGAGGCCCGTCACTTTACTCCAGTTCACCACGGCCTGCCCGTCACTGCTGCGAATGGACACCGTTTTGCCTCTGGTTTCCTCAGAGCGAAAGATAACGCCCAATATAGGCGAGAGGCGCGGAAGCATGGGCGTCTCCATGTCCCCCACCGTACGCGCCGTGACGGAGTAGAGCGAAGAGGGGCTGTACGACGCAAAAGGATCCATCAACTCCTGCAGCGTCTCCAGCTCACGACGCTCCACCGGCGACAGCAGACCCTGCCCACGAGCCTCGGCGAAGGCGCGATCCAGGAAGTCCACCGAAGGGTGTCGCACGCCTTCCAAAATGGCGGCCGCCATTTCATAGTTTTGCTGCTCGTACAGCATCCGACACACCTCGAGGAAGTAGCGCAGCCCACGCTGGCACTCGGCCCACGTCGCGGGTGTGAGGACAACGGCGGCGGTCCACCGCTGCAGGTGCGACGAGAACTCCATCAGCTCCGTCAGCTTCGTCGACACGCTGAACTTCATGGCGGCGTCCGTCCACGCATTGTTCAGCAGCTCGCGGATGTGCACGGCGGTGAAGAGACTGAAGGAGAGAAGGCAGATCTGCCGTGACAGCAACTCCGCGTCGAGGTCGACCACCGAGAGCGGCTTCTGCAGCACCGTCGTTTCCAGCGTAGAAGCCTGCGGCGAGGCGGCGGCGGCCGCGGCACCACCACCGCCTGTTGCTGCCATCTCGCGTCCGTCCGGCCCCAGACCCGGCCGCGCTTCGCTGGAGCCGTGCGACGCGGCACGGCGATCTGCACTCGCGCCCCCGTCGTGGAACTGAGTGGACAGACCACCACCGCGGTATCGGTAGTCGCGCGAGGGGTCGCCGCTGCTGCTGCTCGGGTGCCCGGTGGAGCTGCCGACGCCGCCTCCAACAGCCGACGCGAATGGCTCCGGCGCGAGACGCGGGTCGGCTGTCATGGCGCTGCGCAGAGACAATGACGTGCATCCGAGACTCGGCCGCAGCACTAACGTGTCCACAAACATCCGCGCCGGTCCCTCCACCGCGAACGGCAGGGACTTCAGACAGTCGGCGGGAACATCGATTGGGCGGTAGTACACGACGATGGTGCGCTGTAGGTACACAATGAACTCCAGCAGCGCCTGCCCCACCTCGTTTTGCAGGGGGGCGCGAGTGGCGGGGTTAAGCATCGCGTTCGGGTTGAAAGGGGAGTTGCGCTGCGGAAATAAACCCGCAATACCGAGATCGGCAGCCCGGCGAGCGTCCGTGGAGCCATGACGTTTGTAGTGCCGCAGGTGGCCAAAGCCCGCGCTACTGCCGCCACCGGGCCCTGTGGGGGACGTCGGTACCGTACCCGCTGCAGCCGCCGCCGCCTGCGCACAGACAGCGGCACGTCGGCGAGCGGCGCAGTACACGCCCTCCTGGCACGGCCATTGGTCTTTGCCAACCGCGTCGTTCAGGACGTTCACGGGGCCGAGAAAGCCCTCGGAGGCGGCGAAGACGGCGAGGCGCTGCAGACAGGACAGCGTTAGGTCCGTTTCGTGCACGCGGCAGTACACCAAGATGCACTGCAGGATGCGACGCTCCAGGTAAATCGCCCGGCTCGTGTCGGCAACTTGGGCCTCCCACACCCGCACACTGCGGTAGAAGCGAATAAGCTTTGTCAGGAGCACCTCCGGCAGCACAAAGAGCGAGGCAAGCAAAAGAAAAACGTTGGTGTAGTTCACCGTGGGGATGATGGAGGTGAAGGGCACATCCATCTCCGTCAGGATCAGCACTTCAATTAAGAGGTTGACCGACCCGCCCACGGCAGGAGCGCCGCTGCCGCCGCCGCCCGTCAAGGCGTCAGTCCCGCCCAAATCGGCTTGCAGGTGCTCCAGTGCTTCCAGTCGAATGCCGGTCGCGTCGAAGTCGATGGGACGCCACGGCAGTGTGTCGTCCAGCAGACGAGCACGTCGCGCACTATCCCCCGCGAGCAGCTCGAGGTCCGTTTTCTCCAAACGGTAACGATCGGCCCCGCTCTTTACGGCGTGTGCAGCGGCTCCGTTGGAGTAGACGCCGCCGTCGTCATCCTTCGTGTCGCCGCCAACGGCGTTGCCTACTCTCCACCAGTCGCCTGTGCGACCTGCGGCTGACTCGTCTCGTGCGCGTGACGCGATGATTTCCGTTGCGCGTCGGTAGTGCTCTCGTGCGTCTGCCGTGCGCAGCTGCTGCTCCGGCACAGTCAAATGTTTGCGGAACTGTGCCAACGCCGTGCGGTACCGTGGGGCAGAGAGGTAGCTCTCCACAAAGGCGTCCATGTGTCGTTGGTACACCGTGTCCGCGCGTTGCTGAAGAAAACTGCGTTCCACCGGTCGTGCAAGGGCGTTGGGCGCCACCGCCGTCACCTGCTGATGCAAGGCGGTCTGCAGGTAGAGTTGGTGTTGCCGCTGACGGCGTCGCTCCCGCACCACGGCGACGTCCACGTCCATCGTGCTCACCAGCGACGATCGTACATCTCGAGTAGGGGCGTAATAGGTGGGGCTGGCCGGGGAGAGTAGCGTGTGGCGGCGCACATCCGAGTTGCTGAATCGCACCCGCGACGACGGGCCCTCGCTTTGGTCCGATATCTTCGAAGAGCCACGGCCAACGCTGTCCGCATCGTCATCGTCATCACTGTGTGACTGTGAGTCTGACTCCGAGTCAGAAGTGCTTGACGTGGCGGTGGTCACGCTGGCGGAAGAAGACGAAAGTTTCTCATTTTTCGTATCCGTCATGCGATCTTTTGCGGTTTGGTCGGAGCGCGAAGATGCCGCAGCCATCAGGGCGTGTGCCGGTGGGTCAGAAGGCGGCAGCGGGGCCTGCCGGTTCCTGCGAGAGAGAGGTCGGCTGCCGCTGTCTCTTGCGTTTCCGTCGTCTTTGCCGTTGACGGACGGAGGCGCGTACTCGGTGTTGCTTGAGTTGGTAGAGGTGGACGAGGCAGACGAGGAAGCCACGTGGACCGTGCCGGAGCCCACCGCCTCGCGGCCGTGCAGTGTGCGTGTGTTTTGCGAAGATGCTGTCTCTTTTGAGTTCTCTCCACCTTGGGAAGGGGCGGAGTTGACGTCCACAACTCTCTCTGCCCCATGCGCATAGTTGACGCTGTTTTCTCTCGTGCCGCCACCGCTTTTCTCGCGCCTATCGTTGCTGCTGCTGCTCGAGTTGCCACTGTGCTCGTACGCGACGGCACCGTTGCCGCGCTCGGCCAGCGGCGCGAACGTGCCCTTCTCATGCAAGGGGAGACCTTCCCCGCTGACCAGCTTTTTCGTTTTGCGACGCGAGCGGCGAAATCGACCGGAGACAAAGCCGAAAATGCCGGACGGTTCCTCGTAGGCCGCGGTGCGGTTCGAGTTGGCACTCGCGCCCATCACCGGCCCTTGCGTCTCCGTCTGCTGCGGCCCGTCGTCATCTCTAATAGAGCGATGCCCAAACATTAGAAAAAAAAAACGAACGAAAGGATGAAGATGGAGGTAACTCTAAGCAGAAAAAGTGGAGCGCAGTCTCAAGGAGAGTCAGTGGCATCGTATCAGTTGCTTTTAAGCGCATCTGCAACGAGTAGCCGCCGTACACTCGACACCTTTGAAAGGTGAGAAGAAAAGGGAAAAGATGAATAAACGGCAAACGAAGTTCTTTACTACTTCTTTTTTTTTTGGCTTTGTCGCATAACACTGTTTACACGTAGCGGTGCGTGTATGTACGTCAGGGAGTGGCTTCCACGTGAGTTGTCAAGGGAAGTACGAGGGCAATGCTCAAAAGTCGAGGCGATCTTGCGCCGCGGTCATCTCCACGTAAGGCGTACCTGTTTCTGTTGTGGAGGGCGTAATAACGAAGAAAAGGTGAGAAGAAGACCGAAGGTGGCTGACAGCTGGAGGCGAAATTCGACCTGCTTCCGTGTGGCACGGAAAGCAAACAAGAACAGGACCACAAGCAATACGAGTAAGAAGACTTGCCTAGCGAAGTATCCCCATAGCAGTCGAAAAGAGCATCCGGAGCACGTATCAGCCGCGCAACCGCCCCCCCCCCTTTTCTGGCTTCATTGCATTTGCAGAGAGGCGACTGGGAAGACGAGGTTTGGTGCAAGGAAAGAGGCACAGGAAATTCTCTCTGCTGTTCATGGACAGATTTCTACTCCACATCAAGCAGTTAAAGAAAAGAACAGGAATAACGTTTTTCTTTGTGTTTTTTCTTTTATACAATACAATAAGAGAAGAGGGTGAATTTCAATTCGCTCCAACGATGCTGACTTACTCGGACCTTGGTTTTGTGTCAGTGGAGTTGAGGCTCTTTGAGTCCTGCGGTATACGCGGTATGTCGACACCGGCTTTGGGCGTTCGACTGCGCTGGACGTTCTGCTTTCCATAGCGTGAACGCTGCGCGCGACACGCCCGCGCGGCGCGGCGCCGCATGTACTCCACAACGGTGCGGTGGGAGGTGTGTGTGTGGATGCGCGGGGCTTCGAAGCGTGGAAGGGGCGGCACGGCAGGCGGAGATGTTGCCGCATCACTGTCCGCAGGCACGTCGTCGCTGCGATCGCCACTGGCGAGTCCCGGACGTGGCATCGGCGCATCTTTTCTCTTGAGAGACGCAGCAGATCCAGTTGATGGTGCTGCTGCCGCTGCGGTGGCGATGTCAGCATTCAATAGTGGATTCCCTGAGTGCGTTCGCGTGTCGGGGCCAGGTCTTTGAAGAGGGCTCGCTGAGGCCGCTTCATTTGTGTTTTCGTCTGGGAAAGACTTGCTGCTGAAGAGCGTCGTTCCGGATGCTTGGGCGGCACCGCCTCTACCTGTTGCGGTGTGGTTGACGCGACTCTTGCTCGCGCCGGAGAGCGGCGACGCGCTGCCGAGTGGCTCTAGCGCGGTGGTTCCGGCCCAGAAACTGATGGGATGTACGTTGTGCAGCAGCGACGGCGTGCTCGCCAGCTGGCCCAGGTCCACGTCGAGGAGAGAGTCACGCAGCGGCATCGCTTGAATCTGCCGCAGCTCCGACTCCAAGTCGCTCTGCAAGTCTGCCAGCAAACTCCGCCTTGACTCTCGCGTGGCGGTGATGGCGGTAGAGCCCGCCACCAACGGCGAGGACTGGATGGGCCGCAACCGCGACAGTGCACGTGTCAGCGGCAGCGGTGGCACCGCCAGAGGATCAAACGAGGTGGCCAGATCCAGCTCCACCGCGGGCACAAGACTTTCGATCGTCACGACAGCCTCTGGTGCATTTGCCGAGCGTTGCTGTGGCGGCTGCTTTGCCTCGTTGCCCGAGACGCGCGATACCGCACCATCCACGCTCCTACTACTCTTGTTTGCGACGGCCGTCGATTTATTGCGGTCAGCCCGCGCACCGCTAAGTTGCTGCGACTGTTTGCGCTCCTTCTCATACTCGGCGGTCGCGACAGCTCTGCTTTCCTCCACGAGTTCGTCACGGGTCGTCTGGGCTTGGGCGGCGTAGTTTGGGTCAAGGCAACGAATACTCAAGAGCAGGCTGTTGCTGCGCTTCAACGGGGGCTGTGAGATGGGCGTCTGCACCTCGGCAAAGTCGCCGGAGAAAGTGTCAGGAGACGCCTTAAGGAGTGTGGGTGCGGGGATCGCGTCGCTGGCGTCCTCAGCGTGCGCTCCGCCTGCCGAAGGCTTTGTGGATGCCGCCCCGGCTGCCGTTCCTGCAGCTGTGGCCGCGTAGTCCGACAACGACAACGGTGTACCAGCTCCGGTATTTGCTCGCGCTGCTGCTGCGCGGCCGTCGCCACTCGTCTTATCACCGTTGTTCGGAGTAGGGGGACCAGCGTCGTCGCCAGCCTTCACCAGCCCCGTTACACCTTGACTGGGCGCGCTGACCCAGTTGGGATTGCCTTCCACTGGAGTGACAAACTCGGCCTCGGCAGGGTAATTCACGTCGCGTGGAAGCGCGGACAGCGGTGCGGTGGGGTCGCCAACACATTTCTTTTGCTGTTGCTGTTGTGATGAGGAGGCCGCAGAGAAAGACTCCGCGCTCGCTGCCGACCGCGCACTCGATGCGCGGAAGGCGGCGGACAGATATGTAGCGGTGCGCCGCGGCGGTGCCTTCGACGACGCCTTCGCGGTTGTGGTGGCTGTCTTTCTTGCGGTTGCTCTCGATGTTGTCGTGGCGGACGGGGGTGTCGGCGATAGCGCAGGAAGCTCTTTCGGTGTGAGTGCCGGGTACGGGGAGAAGCGGGTCAACGCCTCGGGTCCCTCTTCGTCCTCCTCGGCAGCAGCGGCAGACGTGTTTGTTGACTGCGTCGCACTCGCTCGATTTGGCTCCCCTTCTAACGATGAAGAGTTCGTCGAGTTCGCCCCACTTTGGTCGCCGTCGCCACTGAAGCTGGAAAAGGAGGGAAGATTGTCGTCCGCCGCAATGGCTGCGTCGACGGCGTCACCGTTGTGGGGAAGGTGCCGGTACGAGGACAACGTGTCCAGCCGCTGCGCCGCTGCGAGTCCGCGCTCGCACACCTGCAGGTAGAGCTCGATCGTGCGATCCATGTCAAGGTAGCGACGCACCAACGCCTCTAAGAGCAGCTGCCCTTCGTGGTCTCGTTTCGCAACGGTGTCCGAATAGTTCCAGGCGTGACGGAGGTGCATGATGATTTGGTGCAGCGACACGGCGGTAAACATGGCGAAGACGAGGCCGATGCCCAAGCTAACTATCGCCACAAAGCCGCGCTCACCTGACGCGGACAAGTCGAAGCCAGAGACAATAAGGTAGATCAAGAGGAGCAGCACGTGGCACACCATCAGGAACACCACCCGCGACGCCGTCAGCACACTGCGCAGCGTGACGGTCAGGTACTTGCTTTTCAGCATGACCGACTGCCCACTGATGCTCCACATACTGTTGAGGAAAATGGTGAGCGCAAAAAGCGTCGCCAGCACACCCATCTGCAGCATCGGGGACGCCGCCTGCGTCACCGCGATGACGGCGATAAGCTTGGTCAGGAGGTAGCCGATGGAGATGAGGTAGTCGAAGGTGGAGTCGCCAAAGAAGATCACCGGCAGCGAGGCGTACGTCACGTCTACACCGTAGCGCCGCTGCAGAATAAGGGAGACGACGATGTGTCCCAGCGGGTAGCAAAAGCCGTACACCACAAGCATCGCAATCGCAAGCCGTCGCATCACCTGGTACTCGGCAGAGTCGCACCTCACGGTGGCGCCCCTCATAGGGATGGTGATCTCGCTACGATACTGGTTCGACCGCATTTCGAAAGTGACACACTGCAGCCACAGGAACGCTTCGAGAATCAACGGGAGGTAGTAATACGCCATCACAATCGATACGGAACTGTTCAGCAGCGCCACCCAGCTGGCGCGGAACTGGTGGACTGCCATCTCGCGATAGGCGGCAATCATACCCACCCGCTTCCACGAAATCGGCATCGCCTCTCGCGCCCTTTCCGAGTTCACACTCGATGCCTCCGCAGCTCCGTCGTTCACGTCGTTCGAATCTGCGTAAGGAAAGACACCTTCCGCTGCTGAACTCGCGGCTGCATTCAAGGCCTGACGCCGTATCGAACTTCCTGCCGCACGCCTCATGCCCGCGCTCCTCGAGGAGGGGCTCACCGACTCCTCAGCCCTGCTGGGCGCCTCCGGGGAGCGCTTCCTGCCCGCGCCCACTACGACCTCGGTGGTGTACTCCGCCCACTGCTGCACCTGCTGCCGAGTCGGAAGAGGTAGGTGCATGCCGCGGACGCAGCTCAGCAACCCCGCGTTGCCTTCGCGCATCGCCTTCACAACAAGCTGCTCCCACGTCGACGCCGGCGCGGCGGCCGCCATGTGCTCCATCACGGCTGCCGTGTGCTCCGCGAACGCGTCGATGATCACGCTTTC